GGTATATCTTTAACTCTATAAAATAGATGAAATTAACTTAACTTGTTACATTAAACATTGTAAACTGTTTTGATGTTAAATCGAATAACATGTTCGTCGACGTCAGAATTAAGATCCATGAATTACGTCCCCATAAACAAAGCCTCTGTATCATCATGCTTATTTAATATATGAAGTATTCAACGGGTAGCGAACGACAAAAGCGCAAATCTTCCGAGCAAGCAACAAAGCAAAGTATTTACGAATATGCCTAAGTTTGTCTGAGTGCCTAATTTAATTCTAAGAAACCTCTTGCTAGAATTGTTTAATATCTAATGGATTAATAGTAGATAGTGTATTTCGGTTTGCATCGGCTTTGCTATTACGGATAAAATACTAAAATCGTCTTATTGCTGTATACATCGTAGACGGTAAAAAAAAAAAACACTTACTGTTGTTTTCTTTCCATTATTCGCAGCATTGTCGTTCTTCATCTTAGGACCTTGGTCAAAATTATCGGATGAGAGGTCGACATTGATGGTTGCAGTACTGACGGCCGACGTCATGCCATCGTCAGGTAACTCCGCTGTGATCTTTCCCTTGTTCGCATCTTTCATGACAAACCGTTTTTCGACATTCTTACCCCCGAGAGTAGCCTGAATTTTAGCAACGATTCTAAAATAGAGCACAGCGATGATGGTAAAGGGTAAATAGAAGAAAGTGATGAACGGGACGATGCCAGGTAATGTTCGTACAGTGTACCAGCGAATGCAGTGACGACCGTTGTCGAAATCGATGATGAATTCGGGTACGGTGATATACAGAAACCAGAAGACTAGTGAAACAGTCCATGGGATGAGGTTTTTGATGACGGCCATTCGTTTGCTTCGTGATATGAAGTGGTTGATAGGATCGTAAGTAGCCTGATGTCGATCAGCGCAGATCAAGACCACGGCAAGGTTGGAGGCGTTGACAATTACCGACCGGAGAGCAGAAGTCACTTTGCAGATATCTTGCGAGAACGGGTAGTACCCGATGTGTGTATGAACCACCGAGAGAATAAGGAACAATCCGGTCATGAAGTCCAGAATGGTCAGGTTAATGATGAAGTAGTTGTTGTAAGTGCGAAGTCGTTTCTCGATGCAGAAGGCTACGAGACTCAAAAAGTTGGCAACGATGATGAGGACTGTGAAAAGGATAGGCCACAGGATCCCGTGGATGTTTACCGAGCGAGTTTTCTGCTCAGTTATTGTGGTCTCAGATAAAAGCTCTGTCGAATTCGCAAAGTAATCCTCAACTAACATAGTCGAATAAAATGTAGGTTCTGTAACATTCTGGATTTTAGCACCCGCCATATCAAAATCTAATTTTATTAAACAATATTGAAATACTGCACCAGATAAAATGAAAATAAGATTCTTAATGACAGTTAGTTAAATGGCAAGCCGTGACTGAGAATGACGAATAATCTCTTCTGCAGGGCATGCAAGAGATTATATACGCAATTTTCTTGTTTCTACCAGTATGAGAAACGCCGAAAAAATATCACGAAGAGAGCAGTGATGTGCAGAAGGTTGCGTAAACATTATATGAGGGTATTGATTAGGAAGATCTAGAGGTAGGCGGTGACTGTTATTAATTTGTTTGGCGTGCAATAACGAATGGCGGATTCTATTGTTATGATTTTGCTGCCGCTTTGTTAATAGAAATCAGATGAACTCCTATGAAGGCTCTTTAAAAGAATTATGCCATGTAGCTTCGGTTTTGAGAAGAGCCATTGGATAATTCGATCAGGCGCAAAGTGGGAGCATTGTAATCAGAAAAAGCAGACCGGTAGAGTGTGTCTTATTAAATTGCAAGGCCCCGAGCAAGAGCTAAATAAGACGAAGTGCACTTACATGAAGGATGGTGCAATTCGTGCAAAGTTAGGTTACAAATTGAATCGATTTTGAATACGATAAGTTTAGAAGCTTGTCTAGTGTTGTCTGAATATGCCAACGCATAACGTTTCATGTCGCATCTATTTTTTTTTCAACGGTTACGGGGAAAACGTCCAAGACGTACATGTTGGTATTTATACACAAAATTAAATTCAAACTATAAAACATGTCAAAAATATTCATGGATATGATTGACAACATTTTTGGCCCTGTGTCATTAATTTTTATCATCAGCGTCAAGTGCGGAAATTCAGTGTCAAATTGGCTCCAAGCCAATTAAATGCAGTTATTTCAGTAGCTTACAACATTTATTGAAACTTGTTATTTCTTTTCTATAATAGAGTCATCTTTATTCAATATTGTTCTCAACTTTGCAAAAACTTAACAAAAAGATATATATACATAACTGATTATACAGGACATGGTGGTACAGAGAACAATTGAAAGCAACAAAATGTATTTCCACCTATTATCAAATGCACATGCACTCCTACACGCACATGCACGCACCAAACACATAGTATTCATTTATACTAGTCGCCATAGCTAATTTTACATCTTAATGGCTTTAAATGATATATTGAATGATCAAGTTTATACACCCCAGAGTAAATATTATACTACTAGTAAATTTAATTCAAATTTTAATTCAACGGGACCCCATAATCTTCACTGTTTTTAGTTATCAAACATTAATATTCGAAGCTTACAAAAGAATTTTGGTAATTTTTAAGAATTTTTATTCATCCTAAACACATTTCAATTTTTCTTTGATAGGACTTATCGAAACCTGTTTACACTCAACTTCTCCTCCAATATTAAATATTGAGAATAATGAAATAATTCATTGAGACCGTAAAACTGGAAAGGGAGGAGTTGTCGCTTTTTATACTTGTAATGATGTACAATGTTCAAAAAGACATTATATTCAATTTGAAGGAATAGAAACATTATTTTTAGAAATTATTGATGATAAACATAAGAATAAAATCATTAGGGTAATGTATAGACCACCTGAAAATGTAGCCGACACATTTTTTGATAAATTAGAACCATGCCTTGAATATATTTCTAGAGAAAACAAAGATATATATATGTCATGGGAGATTTTAGTATCGATATGTCCTTATCTTATACTGTTCCTGGCCAACACTTTAGTAATTTATTATCTTCATTTTCTTTCAAACCTTTTATTAATAAACCAACTAGGATTACAAAGTTAAGTCATACTATAATTGATCATATTTTCTCAAACGTATTAGATAATAAACACAATGGAATAATATACTATGCTATTTCAGACCATTTACCCATGTTTACGATATGTCAAAATGATAAACACTTAATAAAATTCCCAATAAAGAACATACTAACCCGGCGTAAAGAAATAAAGCGTAATCTTGAAACCTTAAAGATAGACTTGAGTCAGGAAAGTTGGTATGATATTTATTTTGAAAGAGATGTGAACAGTTCATATGAAAAATGTATAAATTAACTTCTTTGTCATTATGATAAAAATGTACCCCTCACAAGAATTAAATCAAATAAAAATAAAAATAACGACCATGGATTACTCAATGTATACTTAAATTGAAATCTACTCGAATTCGTTTATATAACATATCACTCAAATGAATATCAAAATAAATATAAAAAAAGTACCGTAATAAATTCATTTCAATTATTCGTTATTATACCATTGTTTGTTCATTAAAATGTAGTAAGTCTAGCGGCTATAATTCACTCCATAGCTTCCCGGTTATCACATATCTTTAATTTATTTCTTTCCCAAGGGATTTTTCCCGGCCCACTAAAAGTTGCGAAAAAAATTCGGATATATAAAAAGGATGATCACTATGAAAATGCAAACTGCCGACCAATTTCTTTACTACCAAGCATTTCAACAAAATTTGAGAAAAAAGTATATAAACGTTTTGAAGACTTTTTGAGTAATAGACATCAATATGTTATTATTAAATCTAAAACATCTTATATTTCCACCGTAGAGTGCAAAGTAACATAAGGCTCTATATTAGGTCCTTTATTATTTTTAGTATATGAATGATATTGTTAATGCATTACCACTCCTAATATACATTTTGTTAGCAAACAATTCCAACGTGACGTATCAACATAAACACTTGAGCATTATTATTACAACTTCAATTTAGAATTAAGTAAATTATCATCTTGGTTCATAGCCAATAAAATCTCTCTAAATATTAATAAGACTCATTGTATTTATTTCAAAAAAATACACTCTAAACATATACTTCGTTATAATATTTTTATAGATGACATGATTGAAAAAAAAGTTACAACCTTCTAAGGTGTAAGTCATATCACCAACATTTGCATGTTAGTTTCGAGAGGCATAGGCATTTTATATAAATTAAAATATTATCTATCACAAAAGTCACTAGTTATGCTTTACAATCCTTTCATTTTGTCATACATATCTTATTGTAACTTATTGTGGGGTAATAGTAAGACGAAAATTATGTTAATATATAGTCTCGAAAAGAAAGCACTCCGTTTTTGTACACATACAAATTATTTAGCCCAAACTGAGACAATATTTTATAAACTAAAAACATTTTTGTCAGATACATAGAAACTAAATGACTGCAAATTCGTATAAATTTCTATACCTCATTCTTATTGGGAATAAACGTTTTTTTTTTTTTTGTATTATGCAGACCAAACTGCGACCAAATGACATAAGATTTAAGACAGAATATAAGATTATATAGTCATCATTTCTTTAACACAGCGTAGGTCAGACTGTATATTTATACCGTATAAAAACACTTACATCTACATCCTAGCTCGGATGTACCAAGATTCGACCGTGCGTTTGGCTTATTCGATGACAAAGATAACTGTTAGATACGATTACGGTTTCCTTTTAGAAAATTACGTTAAAAAAATAATCGACATACTTTTATTATAATACAAGAGAGAACTCAAGACGTAAACAACTTTAAATTCTGTTTTGCTACCAAGACTAAGGATTATCTTTGATGTACAATGTATTATGTGCAACATATAAATGTGTGGTACATTCAAAGTAAAATAATATTACTTTCGTCGGCAAAGGAACATGTTGAATATAGTAGATCTGAACAACGGTTGCGACACGGCATACGATATCGGGTTGAGGAGGCTGTTAAGGTACGGCATCCATCCAAAGAACAGTCGTGCTGGTCGCGGTAGTCCTGGCACAGCGAGCACGGGTTCGATGGAGTAAATGAGCGAGAGAATGCTCAGCGGTAGCCATGAAACTACGAAAGCGATAACGATGACGAGGAGCGTTCTGGTAGCCTTGCTCATTTCGGTGGCAGTTTCGCGTTTCATCTGAGAGTCATTTAAAGAAAAACAAAACCATGGTTAAAAGTTACTGGGAATAGAATTTCTAGATACTTGGATTCAATTGCTAATCCACTCATGGAATTGCACACACTGCACTCCCTGGGGAGTATTAGGCTAGGCGCCATTTTACAAGCGCACACGTCCCTATCCAACCACATTAACGTTCGCATTCTACCGGATGCCCATTGGTTTGTCTGTTTTACCTGACTGCTATTAAAGTATGTGTATGCTTATAGGTAAGCAACAAGGGGACCAACGGCTTTAAGGGGCTTGTTAATGAGGAATTATACATGAGCAAAGGGCACTAGCGCATCGATTTGGTTTCAAACCCTGGATCTCCCGGTTACGAGACCACTGCTCTACCACCGAGCCATCGCCCCCTCCTTTACACCTCCATGGCGAGAAGGAAACGTAGATTAATGTCTTGCCAAAGGACATATGTTATGCGGCGGGAGTCGAACCGCGACCCACATGATCAACAATCCATTGACATATCCAATAGACCCAAACACCTCTAATTTCCGTTAAGATAAGTCGTAACAATGAACAAACCGTGAAAAAGTAAATATATATGTGATTTATATGAACAACAGTTCTTTTTCAATTAGTTTTACAATCATAACACCATTAATCACGATGATCGTCTTATATTGTTAAAAGTAGTGCCATTTCTAAAAATGATGATTGGTTTCCTTTCCAAATGAAGGTGTTAAATTTTGAAAAAAGCTACTTTTGGTATATCTTTAACTCTATAAAATATATGAAATTATTCATTGAATTGAACATTGTAAACTGTTCTGATGTTAAATCGAATACCATGTTCGTCGACGTCAGAACTATGATGCATTAATGACGTCACCATAAAACAAAGCCTCGTCGTAGGCAATGCCTGTATCATCATGCTTATTTAAAATATAAAGTATTCGACCGATAGCGAATGACAAAAGCTCAAATCTTTTAAGCAAGCAACAAAGCAAAATATTTACGAATATTCCTTATTTTGTCTGAGCGCCTAATTTAATTCTCAGAAACCTTTTGCTTGAATTGTTTAATATCTAATGGATTGATTGTAGGATAGTGTATTTAGGTTCGGATCGGCTTAGCTATTACGGATAAAATACTAAAAGAACTCGATGCTTTTACATTCCGTCATGTCTTGTTGCTGTATACGTGGTTAACGGTGAAAAAGAAATACTTACTGTTGTTTTCTTTCCACTTTTCGCGGCATTGTCGTTCTTCATCTTTGGACCCTGGTCAAAACTATCGGATGAAAGGTCGACATTGATGGTTGCAGTACTGACTGCCGACGTCATGTCATCGTGAGGTAACTCCGCTGTGATCTTTCCCTTGTTCGCATCTTTCAAAGCAAACTGATTTTCGACATTCTTACCCCCTAGAGTAGCCTGGATTTTAGTAACGATTCTAAAATAGGGTAAAGCAATGATGGTAAATGGTAAATAGAAGAGAGTGATAAACGTAAACGGGATGAAGCCAGGAAATGTTCGTAAATTGTACCAGGGAACACAGTGACGACCATTGTCGAAATTGATAATGAATTCGGTTACGGTGATATACAGAAACCAGAAGACTACTAAAACAGTCCATGGGATGAGGTTTTTGATGACGGCCATTCGTTTGCTTCGTGACATGAAGTGATTGATAGGATCGTAAGTAGCCCGATGTCGATCAGCGCAGATCAAGACCACGGCAAGGTTGGAGGAGTTGAGAATACCCCAACGGATAGCAGAATGCACCTTGCAGATATTTTGCGAGAACGGGTAGCACCCGATGTGTGTTTGAACCACTGCAGGAATCTGGACCAACCCGGTTATGAAGTCCAGAATGGTCAGGTTAATGATGAAGTAGTTGTTGTAAGTGCGAAGTCGTTTCTCGACGCAGAAGGCTACAAGACTCAGAAAATTGGCAACGATGATAAGGACTGTGAAAAGGATAGGCCACAGGATCCCGTGGATGTTTACCGAGCGAGTTTTCTGCTCAGTAATTGTGGTCTCAGATAAATCCTCCGTCGAAGTCGCAAAATAATCCTCAAATGACATAGTCAAATAGTATGTCGGTTCTGAAACATTCTGGATCTTAGCACCCGCCATATCAAAGTCTAAATATTGTGAAACAATTTTGAAATAATGGGTGAAATAAGACGAAATTGAAATTCCTAAGGACTTAGTCCGGCAGCCATCTCGATATACCTTGTTTTAGGGTCTATAGTTTTTTTTGTTTTATTATAGTTCCTTAGACCATCAATTTGAAGAATCCGATTGCTGACACTCTGTCAGTATTGAGCAATTTGAGTTATGTGACGTCATACAAAATGGCCGCCAAAATCCCCTTTTTAACCTAAATTAATGATATAAAAAGTGTTAACAGCATTTTACTACATTAAATGGCAGTCAAATATCTTGATTTTTTTCTAGAATCATCACTAAATAAAAATTGCGATGTTGTATGATCACAAATGATATATAAATTTGCATAATTCGGAATGGCGCCCTCTATAGACACATTAACTTGCATAGTTAAAAATGATGGCCAAATACCAATTTTTATCATGAGATTATCATATGTCATGAGTCAGATGCACTGGATACAGTGAGTAAAACTTGTGCTGCACATTTATTTGTATTTTGTAATTTAATACTCGAAGAAAACACGATTGAATTTTATTATCTCTGTCACATAGATATGAGGTGGCATATGGTGATAAATGCCCGTTTTCAGTGACAGCGTTAAGAAACTAGATTTGTATTCTAAGGTACTAGATTCTTTTCTATGAACCTAAAAGTTACGAACTACCAATACGATACAGGACTATATCCGTTTATAAGTTGAAAATTGTTTAAAAGCCCTCGAAAGTGAGTGTTGGGAACCCTAAAATATTCCACGCGGAAGAGGGTGTCATTTAACACTTAATTCTGCAACAATATTCAAAACAAATGTGTTCGAAGTGAGGTCGTGACTGCATGTAAGGCGTGCTTCCACACCCATGTTTGCAAATGAGATCTCTTAACATTTTCTACAAACGCTTCAGTAGTTTGAGGTAGTGAGGCAAGGTTTGGGGTATTTGTAGCTCTTAGTCTTCGGACCCTTGATAGCCACACATTGATATGAGCCTCTGACATTGAGCTGGTTGTTCACTGTCCATAACATGAAGCAAAGCATTGAGTAGGTTGAGTGATGACATATGACCATGCTGCATCAACATTGCCAACTGAGTCCTAAGGGAGTCGAATCTTCTGCTACATCACTTTCAGCATTGTACCCTATCCAATGCCAAAGTATGCCCCAAGAGTGTCGCATCCCGTCAACGCATGTCCTGCCAACATCGATGGAATGATATCTCCTAACTTGTCTACAGTGGCAGGAACATTAATAGCAGTTCGATCTGTGATGGGCGTCTCCATGGTCATTGGCGTTTTATAAGTCCGTCATGTAGATGCAAAAGTAGTACGTAGACGTCGGTGTCATCCACTAGGACCCTAACATACCTCTTCTTATTAGCAGCAATTCCAATCGCTTGCTGTACTGTGATGTTGCCTGCTTCTTCATTATTATGTTGTGGACAGACTTTTCCTTGGCATGACATCACTGCCTGGAATCACTTCAACAGGAACCTTATCTTGACGGTAATGACCTGTTTGTGCTTTTGCCTATTTCTGAGCACCCAATCATCCTGCAGACTCGCTCATATATGATTTCGATCAACTGTAGTTTGTTGTCATGAAAAGATAGTGAAGTTAGCAACACTAGAGAAATGTTTTAACACATCAAGTCACTGACTAAGAAATCTACACCCAAACTTATATGTCTTGAAGGATGAAAATGGGAACATTTTAACAGAGGATGAAGATATAAAGGCAAGGTGGAAGAAGTAATATTGTGTAAAACCGTATACTGCAAAAGAAACTGAAGAAGTTGATACTCATGAAGGAGTAAGCGTCGAGGACGAGCCCATGCTTGAACCTGACATCTTACAAAATGGAGCGAAGGAAGCAATAAATCATCTGAGACCTGGGAAAGCACCAGGTATTGAAAATTCCCTGCGAAGCTTTTCAAAGAGAGTGGAGAGGAGGGCGTAACGGTCATGCATAAGCTGTGTAACAAAATATGGAGACAGAGAATATGACCACAAGACTGGAATAGAGCTGTTTTTCTCCCACTCCCAAAGAAAGGTGTTACAAATGAATGTGCCAACACCCGCACTTTTCTATTACTCCGCATGCCAGTAAGATTCTTCTTCACTTAATTGCTGAAAGAATTAGAAACAAACAGGGTTCAGAAAAGAAAGAGGGACACGAAACCAAATTGGCAATCTCAAAAATTTGATGGAGAAAAGCAGAGAATTTCAACAACTTCTCTCCTTTTGACTACGTACAACATAAACGCCTATGGAAGAGTATGAGCTAGATGGGCTTTCCAGCACATATTATTCAACTCATCCAGTCGCTCTACCAAGACCAAGAAGCAACAGTAAGAACAAAGAATGGCTACACCGAAATGTTCACTATTGGTCAAGTTGTCCGTCAAGGCTGCATCCTATCACCATAACTTTTCAACATCTATGCTGAATTCATCATGAGAAAGGCTTTATGGTCAAGTTTCTGTTGGTGGACGAACGATCACCAACGTAAGACACGCCGACAATACAACACTCCCTGGCGTATTTACGGGGGAGGGGGGCTTGGGGACAGTTGACCCCCAAATAAATTCAAACTGTTTTTTTCTTCTTATTCGATACCAGTGATTTACAAATGTTGCTGAAATGACATGATTTTCCTGGTTTTTTTCTCACTTTTTAGTAAATTATTATTTGTTAAGCGTATGTTGGAAAATTTAAAAGCCTACATGTCAGGATCCGCGGAACGGCGGGGCTCAGGGGACTCGAGCCCCTCTCACTGTTTGTATAACGTATGCAAAAGAGAACTAGAAAGAAAGAAAGAGTGACCCGAGGTGAAATAAGGTATCAAAATATGCTCATCTGACAGTTATTAAATGTCTAAAACCCCTGAGCTTCCGGGGGCTGTGCCCCTTGAACCCTACCTAGGGCCCTAAGGCAGGCCCCTGCATGGATGCTCATCTGACAATTATTAGCTGCCTACAACCTCTGAGCTACCGGGGGCCCTGCCCCCTGGACCCCACGCCAATTTGCGCTCTCTTGCTGATCGTAAATACTTTACCCCCCCCCATCCCCGCTTTAAAAAAACGTTTCGCGGGGCCTGCATGTAACATGTATAAGTGGTGGTGATGCAGATTGTTTTTCTGCCCCTCTAAGTGTTTTTGCTCATTATGCCACTTATAACAAGAGCATCAGAAGAACTACTAGAACTCCTTAAAAAAGAGTGAAGGATGCAAGTGAATAATTTGGACCCTTCCTCAATGTGAAAAAGATCAAGATCACGATTGGTGGAAATTAACTACATGCAACAGAGCATGGTGGTTGATGGAGAAGAAGTTGACCAAGTGGACAAGTTTATATCATGTTCTTTGGTCAATGATTGTCAAGGAGAGTGGAAGCTCGGTAGATATCAAGAGACATCTGACCATGGATAAACATCGGCCTCAACACTGTCAAATATCTGGAAGGACAGGAACCTCACCTTGGCCACTAAGATCCGTGTAATGAAGACATTGTTTTTCCAAGTAGGAACTCTATGGCTGCGAGACATGGGCATAAGGAAAGGCAGACAGGGGAGCAATATCTGCCTTTGAATTTGGTGTTGAAGGAAGCTACTTGGGATATCATGAAGAGATTACATCACCAATGAACATAATCAATGTCCATCATCGGAGATCAACCGCCACTTGCTACCAGGATTGACAAGTTCAAGCTACAATAGTTTGGTCGCGTTAGCAGAAGATCAGGAGACAACCTTGACAAATTATCATTCAAGGTACCTTTGAAGGAACACGTAACGTGACGTAACAAAGGAAGACTCAAGCTCAGATAAAGTGACGACCTTAGGGAAATCACTAGCCACCCTCTAAATACTAAATACACTCTCCCGGATTGCAGGAGACAAATGCCGAACGAAAGGTCTCATCAAACGGGTCACAAGGGTGAGCCATGATCTATATGACAACGATGACGACGACGAACAGTGAGAGATAGTTTCTTGGAGGGCAGCAGTGACGCGGGACTCAGTTGGAAGACTTTCGACCCGTTAAGCCCTCTAGATACTCTTGGATCCGTCAAACACCAAGCAAACATAATCAGATTTTCATCCACAGTAGAGCACAACCTTCAATGACTATACAAGGTTGTTCCAGCGTCTCATGCCTGGCTGACATCTCAACTTTTGTCAAATTCTATAAGTCCGCCTTTGACATGGGAGTGCTCGTTTCCAAAATCATCAAAGAGTGCTGTTGGGACTGGTGAAAGCTCTTAAGACAAAATGTCCTTGACACTGACCTCTCTTGAACTTGCCTGCATTCATATTACTCTGGAGTAGATCAACTTTTCATAGACTTTCGTACCCCAACATTAATTGACTTCTTCATAGCTGCCATGGTTTGAACTTTCTTGGAAATTGTGTCATAGAATCCCCCAAGTAATTTCTTTTGAAACTCATGCATTTGTCTAGTACAGATGTCAACTGCTTTATCCACATTCACTGACGTTGGAGCAATGCTGGTCTAAATAAAGCCTATCGATGGAATAATGATGTGTGCCGTAAAACCACTTCTCACCGATTTGATGAAAAATTAATTCTTTCATAGCCTTTCATTTTTGTTTCTTGACATATGTAGGGTAGGTGTAGGGAATTGGAGACCACCAATATTGCTATAGCGCCATATGTGGCCTATAACAACACTACTGCATATATCCATTTCATTTCGAAGACTACAATGTGTTCTCTCTCTGAGAAAATTGGCAAAATTGACCAAGATAAGCAATTTTGATCGTAACAATTTGCTCTGATATAAAAACACAATTTTCACTGAATGTTGTGGTGTATGCAGATATTTAGGGGTGGTGGCTCTTAAAAATTAGTTTTAAAAGGAAGTTTATGAAGTGTGCCAACAATCACAGAAAACTTATGGCCACTGTGTGTTGTGAATGGGTGTTGCAATGCACATTATGAATGGTGTCTGA